AAAAAGAAACAAAAAAAAAACTATAAACTGAGGACTTGAAATATATTAAGTAATAAAAAACATACTTATAGTTATATTTTTATTCATTTTCTAATAACAATATGCAATATCTTTGAAGACAAACTATACAAACTAATTGATTTAGTAAGGTTCGGCTATACCTTTTCAGCATGTATTCATACTTTTTAAATAGAAATATTACTCTTAAAATAAACTTAAAAAATTTATAATGCTTCATAGAATAAGCGGATATTTTTGTTAAAAAATTATTACTCTTAAAAAAAGCTAACATAAATAAAAATAAATAAATATTTTTGTTACAGATATATATATATGACGAATTTGACCCGTTTAGTCATGTATCTCATTTGTGTTGTGCAATTGATTTGGATAACAAATTTGTACATATGATTCAACTTGAATAGCTTTTCTTGTAAGAAAAGAAAAATTAAGGTCAAAGACAACATAGAAAATATTGACAAAGGGAGTTGGGTAATTCATAATTGGTTGAATGCGAACTTTGGGCTGATTCTTCATAATAAAACCGGCGGTAACTAAAACTGGTGGCGCCGTCGGCTTCTTAAGGGTGTAATCTAGCGGCGCCCACCGGTTGGGATATAAAATTCAATTAATTAATTTAATATTCAAGTGATATATCCATAAATTAGTTTGGTTTCTTGCTGCCAACTTTAGGTTATTAAATAATTAGGTTAATTAGTTATTTACCCTAATTAGATTTACCCTCTATGTTATTAAATAGCTAAAGCAATCTGATTAACATTAATTGTTTGGTTTGAGAGTAGTACATTTTTGCTAGTATTTACTTTCACCCTAACTTATTCTAATTAGAAATTGAATTGGTGATGGTAAATATGTAATATAAGTATTAATGGTGTTTATTTTGAAATTATTAAATTGACGATTTCATAGTTTCCAGGCTAACTAAATTTTATTTTCCAAGTTCTGGTGATTGGGGTCGTCTTTCATGATCAAATTAATAAAATAATAAAGTTATTATACATAGCGGTTAATGCTGATTTTAAAAATAATATTATACATAGAGTAACATGAATAGCTGATTTTAAAAATAATATTATACGTAGAGTAACATGAATATGACACATTTCATAGCACAATTCTTAATAAAACTAATACTCTATGTTAAATTTCATGTCATTCTCTACATTATTGTAGCAGAATTAAATTAGTATCTTAAGTTTCTTGATTTTTGGATTATAATATTAAACTGAAAATTGATTCATTTTTAGGGATAAAATTCTTTGAAATAACATAAAAATGAATAACAAAATCAAAGACTACAAATCTTTTTATATTTATTGTGATAAGATAACAATATGACATGGGCCAACGTATGGAAGTTAATCTATTCAGATCAAAGAATTGGTCCACTACGTACATAATGTTAAAAATTGGGCTTCTCTTGGGTCTGAGAAAAATCTCCACGATACTCCTAACCTAAGCCCCATTGTGACAGTAAGACATTAACTCGGAGTTTACGACGTACAAAAACATTGGGCNATATTTTCCCAAGAAATTCAATGGATATTCAAACATAGATTAACACTAATATATTCCATTAGAATTAAATTTTCCTTGAAGTTTTAGTTACAATTTAATTATTTCAACATTTTATTGTCGTAGTAATTGTCGGTGGAATATACAATTCTTGTTGGAACTTTTATTTCCAGCCATATTTCAACTATTGAAAATCCTTTGGAGTCGTCAAAATTCAATAGAATTTACAAGAAATACTCATTTCAACGGAGTATTTTAATTGAAATTTCTATTAGATCTATTGAAAATTTCCAACAAAAGTAATAATATTGAAATATCTATTAAAATTGTTTTGGTTGTAATTCTATTATTTTCTTATAGTAGACACAAAACCAAAAGACTATCAACTGTTAATTTTTATGCCCAAAATTGCACTTTTTATGCTAAAAAAAAGTGGAATATATATTAAACTCTCAACACATAACCATGCATGTGAATGCAATAATGTGCAGAAACCCTAATTTCAAAATGCCAGCCAAAGCACAGCAAAGTCTGGAGTGTATATCTAATCCCATGACGTATTAAGGTTTGTTAGCTGAATTGGTACGCACCCAATTTATAGCTAATAACTCAATCTCTATCTTCTCAATGTATATAAATAGCAAACGGCAATAATAAAATTGAATTTTATATTTAATTAAAAAAAATTTATAGCGAACGGCCATATCTACATACCCATTTTTCAAAAAGTGATTTCCAATGTAGTCTTTGGCTTCTTCTTATTCAACGCTTTATATCGGCATTAAATTCAGCACCTTTAATTAGGTGCCAACTTTATTCTGAGTGAGCAAGATTTCATCTTCACTTAATTTCCCTTACTGATTTTATTTGGTACTCCTATTATATTACTACAAAAATAAGCACAAATTAGTAGAATATTCATTTTTTTATGAGGAGTCTACAATATTTCATAACATAAATATTCATTCTTATTAAAAAGATATAAGGAGTCTACACACCTCAGCTCACACACACAAATTTATGATTTCATAAAAGCATTTTTTTATGGAAATACATAGTAAAACAAGAAACCCGCCACCTTTGCCTTTGGAAAAATGTGCAGCGACCTCACTATATTACTCTGCCCATCTCGTGAAACTCTTGCACACTCACATAGTCACATTTCAAGCACAATATACGTTTGAAAATTTTCAACCTTTTTACACTAACCATCTTTGTCTCCTTCTCCATATTCCTTTTGCAAAAAGTCCCTATAAAATCCCCAGCTAACAACCACATTTTCTCACACCAAAAGCACTTAAAAACTCCCCTGAAAATCCAAAAATGGCTCCTTTCATCTCTTCTCTGTTTTTCCTTATCATTCCCTTTTCTTCCTCACTGGTTTTCTCCGAAATCGTCGATTTCGACGATTCTCGAGCTTATATCGTCCGTGTCGAAAACGACTTGAAGCCTTCGAGTTTCTCCGATGTCGAAGAGTGGTACAAAGCCACTCTCCACAGCCTCGACTCAGACTCTCTAACCTCCGAAAACCCGAATCCCTCCCGACCGACCCGCGAATTTCTCCACGTATATAAAACGGTCTTTCACGGCTTTTCCGCAAAACTCACTCAACAAGAGGCCCGACAGCTCGGGACCCGACCCGGTGTCCTTGCGGTCCTACCCGACCGCCTCAACCAGCTCCACATAACCCGTTCCCCTGCTTTCATGGGCCTTTCGTCGGACAAAAACCCAACGGGCCGTTTGCTCTCCGAGTCCGACTCGGGCTCCAATGTCGTAATCGGGATATTCGACACGGGCATCTGGCCCGAGAGGCCCAGCTTCGACGACTCGGGCCTCGGCCCGATTCCTCCCGGGTGGCGGGGCGAGTGCACGGAGGGTGACCGTTTCGACAAATCCCACTGCAACAAGAAGATCGTCGGGGCCCGATTCTTCTCCGCGGGCTACGAGGCCCGTAAGGGCCCGATCAACTCGTCGGAGGAGTTTCGGTCGGCGAGGGACTCCGACGGACACGGGACCCACACGGCCTCCACCGCCGCCGGTCGAGCCGTACGGAACGCGTCCCTTTTCGGTTACGCGGCCGGCGTGGCGGTCGGGATCGCCCCCAAGGCACGAATCGCCGTTTACAAGGTGTGTTGGAAAAACGGGTGCACGGACTCCGACATACTCTCGGCCTTCGACAAGGCGGCCGAGGACGGGGTGAACGTAATCTCGATATCGATCGGCGGAGGGGCCGTGCCGCACAATTTGGACCCGATCGCGATCGGGGCTTTCGGCGCGGCTGAGAGGGGCGTTTTCGTCTCGGCGTCGGCCGGAAACGAGGGGCCCACGAAAGGGACGGTGACCAACGTGGCGCCGTGGATGACGACGGTGGGTGCCGGCACGATCGATCGGAAGTTCCCGGCCGACCTCGTGCTCGCGGACGGTCGGGTGCTCGAAGGCGCGTCGCTCTATAGCGGGCCTCCGTTGCCCGAAAAGACCTTTTTGCCCTTGATACATGGGCGCAACGCCTCCGCCGCCGCCGCCAGCGGGCGGCGGTCGGGTGGGTTCACGGCCGCCACATGCCTGGCGGGCTCGCTCGACGAGAAGCTCGTGGAGGGTAAAATTGTAATTTGTGACCGCGGCGGAAACTCGCGGGCCGCCAAGGGGGAGGTCGTCCGGAAGGCCCGCGGGTCGGGTGTGGTGGTTGCCAACGTGGCACCCATCGGGGAAGGGCTCGTGGCTGACTCACACGTGATCCCGGGCCTAGCTGTGACCGAGTCCGCGGGACGTACGCTCCGAGAGTACACCGATTCGAACCCGAACCCGAGGGCCACGATTGTGTTCCGCGGCACGGAGGTCGGGGTCACGCCTGCCCCGGTGTTGGCCTCGTTTTCGGCCCGAGGCCCGAGCTTGGAGTCACCGTACGTCTTGAAGCCCGACTTGATAGCTCCGGGCGTGAACATCCTTGCCGCGTGGCCCCCCAGCGTGTCGCCGTCGGACTTATCCTCCGACGCGCGGCGCACGGAGTTCAACGTGGCCTCGGGCACGTCCATGTCTTGCCCGCATGCCTCGGGTGTGGCTGCCCTCCTTAAGGGCGCCCATCCCGATTGGTCCCCGGCCATGATCCGGTCGGCCATGATGACCACGGCTTATAGCCACGACTCGAGAGGTCGGCCGATACTCGACGAGAAGTCTTACAATGATTCCACGGTTTGGGATATGGGTGCCGGCCACGTGGACCCGGAGAAAGCTGTCGATCCGGGTTTGGTCTACGACATTAGTGCCGACGAGTACTTAAACTTCCTTTGCGCTTCGAATTTCACCCGTCGCGAAATACGACAGGTGGCTAGGCGGACGGTCGGTTGCACGAAGATCAAACCAAAACCGTGGCAACTCAACTACCCGGCCATCGCGGTTGATTTCGAGGCAACCAAGTCGGGGAAGGATCTCGAGATTGCGGTTGAGAGGACTGTTACACATGTTGGGGAAGGGCCGGCTAGTTACGGCGTGACCATAACTAATCCGAAAGGGGTGAGCTTAACGGTAGCCCCGATGAAAATGGAATTTAAAGGAAAGAGTGAAAAGTTAAGCTACACGGTGAGGATAAAAGCGGCGAAGATGGAAGTGAGGCCTGGGAACACGGTCACGGAGGCCGGGAAAATAACTTGGTCGGACGGACAGCGGCAAGTTGTGTCGCCGGTGGTGGTGATGTGGAAGCAAGGGTTTTGAAGAGCCCGCGTATTACTCGTATTCCGGTGCGGATGTGCATAAATTTACTAAGTTTCGAGCTACTTCTTTCTTATCGTGATGTCGCGAAAAAATGTAGTAGACGATCATGTGACGAAGCCTCTTTATAACAAGAACTTAAGATAGTCGTAAGTTTCTCTAATTTATTGTTCTCTTTTGAGGTCTTGCTAACCTTTTGAGGTCACAACTATGAGATTTACATAAGTACATAACATGAATCACAAATGAGAAACACTTTCATAACATGAATCACAAATGATAAATTATCACTTGTTTTCTTTCCTTTAATGGGTTTTCAGTTTGACAATTTTTTGGCAGGAATGAATTGCATCGTCCCCATAAGATTAATTATATGGCAAGCAAAATAAAAATCTTATTGTTTGCAGCATATTTTATTTCCTGCAAAATGGGGAGGCCTTTTTCCCACACAAAACCACAGCAGAGAAAAAAACCTCAAGAATAATTGTCTGCCAAACGAAAAGAGACCGACAAAAATTTCAAAATATCACTTCAAAAGATATTAGTCGGAAGGGCCGATCATCTTTTCCGGCACCACAAGCTGATCGAATTCGTCGGAATCGAGCACACCTAGTTTTAAGGCAGCATTCTACAGAGAATGGAAATTTCATCAAACGGGATTTTGTCTAGAAAAGTATTTTCTTGCAAACGAAACATTTTATGCACAAAAAATGGGTCGAGTGTAGTTCACGGGCACCAAGTAAAGGCAAAAATGCATTTTTAGTTCTGCATAACAATTTTAGTCTCAAAGTTCCAATTTTTCGCCTTTTGGTCTAGTGATTTAATATTTTGCTGCAATTTTCAGTCCTTTGAGGACTCCAATTGCAACGAAATTTAAAATTACATGACTTAAATTGCTAATAAAAAATACATCCAAAAATGTAAATTTGGGGATTTGTTGCAATTTCAGTCCTTTTATTAAATCATAGGACTAAAAGGCTAAATGTTAGAATTTTGAGACTAAAATTGTTATGGCGTTAAACCAGCAGGACTAAAAATGCAATTTAGCCTAAAGTAAATATACATCTCACGTATACATTATTGCAAACAGAAAAAGGGTAGGTTCTTCTCAGCATAAGGACACAAACCTTTAAGGTACTTCCTTCCTTGTGAGCTGTCTTGGCAACTAATGCAGCGTTATCATATCCGATTTTCTAGATTCACAATGAAAATTAGTTACAATTGGCAAAAATCCAGCAGTGTTTCAAAATAAGGAGCGGAAAAAAAATAATAAATAAATTAGCTGGTAAACTTACTGGATTCAAAGATGTAACAAGCATGAGGGACTGCAATGCATGAAAAAGGCACAAATTACATCATTTAGAGGCAGTGATATTTCAACAGTTTAATAAAATTTCCAACAATATTTCCTCCTAATGTGCAAAATAAACTGACCTCATGCAACAATTTAGCGATTCTTTCCCTGTTGGCCTGAATTCCCCTGACACAATTCTTTTCGAAGGAAGCAGATGCATCGCCAAGCAATCTCAATGACTTAATAGACAAAAGATAACGATGTTTAATAAATGTTTTTCAAATTTTGTACGTGGTCACTGAAAGAAATGGAGAAAATCAATGGATGTCTTTTCTTAATCCTTGCTNAAATAAAGATCAAAGAAGAATCACAATGGATCACCAATGACTAAATAGCACTGTATAGACAAAAAAACCAATCAATGTCCAAAATAATGATCATGAATAATTAAACGTACTTGTAATAGATTACTCGCAATGACAGGCTTAAATACATTCAGCTCGAAATGGCCATTTGATCCCCCCACTGTAATCGCAACATGATTGCCAATTACCTAAAAAGTAAAAAAGCATATCAGATATCTGGAGAGAATGACTTCTTTTTGTCCATATTTCAGATTATTTTTACCTGAGCACAAACCATCGTGAGAGCCTCACACTGCGTAGGGTTCACCTTGCCCTGAAATTTAGAATAATTGTAATCATCACGCAGTTAATAGCAGTAATAAGATAATCAGCCAACAGCAATGTTCCAGAAAAAGCACACACACACACACACATTACCGGCATTATACTGCTGCCAGGCTCATTTTCAGGAAGTATGAGTTCTCCTAGGCCACATCGTGGACCACTGTATAAAAACCAGGATGTGAGAACAACTGAATCAAAGAACTCAGTATTTAAGAAACACGCTTAGATCCCATTTACCTTCCTAAGAAACGTATGTCATTTGCTATCTTCATAAGAGACGTAGCAATTGTATTTAAGGCTCCACTTGTTTCAACAAAAGCATCATGGGCAGCCTATCGATACAGAAGACAGAAAGAAATTAAATTTATCTCCTCAAAAAAAAAAAGTGCACAGATACATATCCTGATAATAACGAGGTCTGCTATAAACAGATGACAATCCCATATATTCAAGAGATACAGTGGAAAAACAAGGCAAACTTCTGAAAGGGAGCTATACCAGTGCCTCAAATTTGTTTTCGGCGGTCGCAAATGGCAAATTAGTTTCCTCAGCTACTGCTGCAGCAATCTTAACGTCGAACCTGACAACATCAAGTTGCTTTGGTAAAGAAAATGAAAAGAAATATTACGATGTCAACTAAGATATGTGAAATTTTAGTAGAACCAAGTAATAATCTTAGCTGTACACTTAATATCTTACCCTTTCTTTGTGTTCAAACCAGTTCCTACAGCAGTACCCCCCTGTGCCAGCTGCAGATAGTCTCCAAACTCTTAGGGCCATTTAAAGAGCAAAGAATTTGAATTAAAAAAAAAAAATGATTACTAAAGAAAATATTAACCTGATACATGCGGGGCAGGGTGCATGAGACTCGATCAATACCGTACTTCACCTAAAATCATTGGCACAATCTTTATGTTGACATGCGTTATTTTTTGCAACTTTCAGATATCAACTGTAAAGGATTCACAAAAATACAACCAGTCTCTCAAAAGGCACTGGATGAAAAACCTACCTGTGTTGTATAGCCACTAAATTCTTGTCCAAGTGTCAGTGGCGTAGCATCTTGTGTGTGAGTACGGCCAATTTTTACGATGTCTTTGAATTCGACAGACTGGAAGACATAACAAAAAGGACTTATTCATGAAAGATATTCTGCAAATCTTCACAATAGTGGTAACGAAAATGCACAAATACAGCAAATCATAAATTGTGTAGAATATTGAGAGGGGGAAAGTGTCAACGATCGTATATAGCAGATTGACACACAAGACGGCCAAATGAAACATTTAGATAGTAAAAACAGTAAATGAGGAGACGGGTGGTAGAAGGAAAAGGAGAGAACATAGTCACAAAACCTTTGAAGTAAGTGTTGAGTGCAACTGTTTCAGTTTTGGTATTAATCCTGAATTGATTTCCATTGCTGCTGCTATGTGCATTACCTGCGCATAAATAAAACCAATAATCAAATCAGTAGCTATACTTCAGGTCAACCAGAGTAAATGAAACTAAATATACACTTCCTGGGGCTAAAAGAAGCTTACAGTTGGAAATGTGTCGTTCGAAGATTGAGATCTGTTCACATGATCATTTGGATGAACAAACTTATCACCACGCTTGTGCCCAAGAATTTCAGCTGCTCTATTTGCAATAACCTGCAGATAAAATATGGAATATACTTCAAACTAAAAGAAAATTTATCATCTGACAATGGCTTCACAAAGTAGTTTCAATTATATTCTACAGTTTACAAAAGGTAAAATCAATCATCCAAGTCAACTTATGACAACATGCAGCAACTCTTGATTCCTAAACGTTATAATATTCCTAACTATAACATGCATCATCTACAGTGTTGTCACTTGGACCAAATAATAACACTGGGTCAAAGATCTAATATCACCTCATTGGCATTCATGTTACTCTGAGTGCCGCTACCAGTTTGCCAAACAACCAAAGGGAAATGGTCGTTTAATTTTCCCTCAGCAACTTCCTGTGCAGCTTGCATAATTGCTTTGCCTATGGAGGGATCAAGTCCATATTCCATGTTGACCTACAAAGCAATATGCATGTCAAAATTTTGAGATAACCAAACCCTTTTAGCTTGTCCTATCATAGGTTGTGATGATGGCAGGAAAATAATGTATGGATGACGGCTTCTTAATGTAATATCTAAATAAGTTTTTTTTTTTCATGTAATATCTAAGTACGTAAGGCCACAAAGCAATTTTTATAGGAAAACTCTTCTTATCATGAGTATTTTCACCTTTGCAGCACATTTCTTAAGAATCCCAAAGGCACGGATAATCGGCTCAGGCATCCTTTCCCGGTCTCCACCAATTTCAAAGTTCTGCAAGGATCTTTGTGTTTGAGCACCCCATAATCTGGGCAGTCCCAACAGAAAACATACAAAACGAATATAGTCAGCCTTTGAAGAATACAAATGTAAAAACTAAAAAAAAACAAAAAAACAAAAAAAAACCAAAAGCAAAATGAAAACGATAGGCCTAAGTTTGTTAAAAATGTCTGTTATTTACACTTGAATCTTTTACAAATTTTTCAGAAACAATATATGATTGTGAGACTAGGTATACACACATTCTGGCAACTGGTCTTCATTAAAACAAGAGACATGTTCTAGCTCTGGAACTGCTGCTAAGAGCTCACTCTAGTAAACAGAAATTGTCAAATTTGGAGAACTGTACTAATGTTTTGAGGACATTAAAAAATGTAGGATTAGTGAATACAGAAAGAAGACAAAATTCATTTTCGTAAATTCCAATGCCTATCCTAAGTCTATGATGTCAATCTTCTTCACTTACCATGGTTTAACATGAATCTAGAGCAACAGAAGTCAGCATTTTGTGCTCCTGATTCAAAGTTTTTTATCTGATTTTTTGCAATATAAGCTTCTAATAATAACTATCTATCTAGTTAATCAGAACTCTGTATATCATTATCACTCGTCGATCTACAAGACATGTCAGTTTAGTGGCAAGCACCAAGAGATCTCCACTATAAATCAAATTAAAGAAACAAATACATAAGAAATCAATTTTGACTGCACCGCAAGCTGAATATGAAGATCCATCAGAATAAAATAACAAACAAACAAACAAAACAAAACAAAACAAGGTTTCCAGTAGCTGAAAAATCACTGAGAACGAAAATGGAGCTCGAGAAGAAAAAATAACGAATTACAAAGTACGAACCTATCAGATGGAACCTGAATGGGGCCGAAGGTATCTCTTTCTTCTCTAAACGACGTTGAGTACCATCTGAAGCTCGCCGAGACGTACGACGCCGCCTGAGGCCGACTCGTTAGACGGCGGCCGATTACTAACATCGCCATTGCCGGAATCAGTTACAGCCCACCGGCGATCGGTGAAAAAATGAGCGCACAAGCGGAAATTTAGTTTGATTTGCTTCTGCAGGAAACAATCTGGGCTAGAAGCCTTTGAACAAAATGGAGGAGAATTTTCCGTCGGCTCAAACTTTTCGGTCACGCCTTCCTACGTGCAGACTTCCGGCCCATGAGCTATCTGCTAACGAATTATGGCCCGTTTGAGTAGAGCTGATGGGCTTTATCAGTTATTGTGCATAGCCAATATAGCGGGCTAAAGGACGCATAAATACTCTTTTAAAAAATCTGTTCCCAATCTATGAGCCCTGTAAAATAATTCCACCTATCATTTCATAGCCTTGTTCCCAATCTATGAGCCCTGTAAAATAATTCCACCTATGATTTCATAGCCTTTTTAATTACGATGACTGTAAACAATTCCAACTATTTATTCAAAAGCCTTTTTTATTTGAAAAACATACGATCCATACCGTTATTTTTATAATTTCATTTAGATTATTTTCAGTTTATCTTAAATTTATTACATTATTTCTATTAAAAATTAATTTGAATTATGGTTAATCATAAGTATATTTCAAGTATATTTTTTATTTTTTACTAAATCTAAAAAAATTGGTTAATCTTAAACATATCTTAAGTATATCATAAGTATATTATCTATTTTCTTTACTAAATCATAAAAAACTGGTTAATCTTAAGTATATTTTAATTTTTAAGTATATCATAAGTATATTATCTATTTTTTTTACTAAATCATAAAAAACTGATTAATTTTTAAGTATATCTTAAGTATATTATCTAATTTATAATTATAACTAAATGACACATAAATAAATAGACAACAAAATCAATTAAAAAAATAAACTTAATATAAACTACAAATAAACCAAAAAAAAACCTAATTAATTAAAAAAATAAACTAAATATAAACTACAAATAAACCAAAAAAAACCCTAATTAATTAAAAAAATAAACTGAATATAAACTACAAATAAACCAAAAATACCTAATTAATTAAAAAAATAAACTGAATATAAACTACAAATAAACAAAAAAAAACCTAATTAATAACTATATAATCATATCTTTGATTACAGATAAACAATCAAATTAACTTTCAAAATCATTCGAAACACAAATATATCACATAGTAAGCACACACACAAACAACGATCACCAATCGGCACAAAAACGCGACAATAGCCTTCAAATTCTCTACTTAGAGAAAAAATTGCAAGACCTGAGTTACATATTTGCAGTGAATAAAAAAAACTTCTAGATATTATTCAAGCTCCGAGCTTCAAGAAATCATAGATAAACATCGAATTAATTTTCAAAAAACTAAATTTTGTTCCCAGAAATTAACACACGTAATGAAATCATAGATCAATTAACACTCAAAAATCTACTTTATAAAAAAATTCCACAGATTATTCAAGCTCTCATCTTCAAGAAAATCATAGATAAACATCAAATAAACATCAAACTAACACTAAAAAAACTACTTAATTTTTTTTTCTAAAAATTAACACACGTAAATTAGAAAGAAGGGGTAATCGGAGCCATCGAAAAATATAAAACGCAGCCCATCACTTTTTCCGACCTTCGAGTCTCCATTTTCACCTCTCTCATCTGACACTCTTCTCATCTGACAGAAAGAACATATCGGTTGGCCGATGAGTAAAACAGATGAACTTCAGAAAATAGACTAAAATAGTATCACAACTCACAAGAAAACATAGTCGGAACGATCGAAATTCCACAAGTAGCCATTTATCTCTATATTCACCAACCAGCACTGCAAAACCCGAAATCATTTCGAATTCTCTATAGTCTAATAGACAAAGCAAATAATCATCCAATTTACCTCAATTCACAAACAACAAAGCCACACATAAAACAAATAGCCTATAATTTATGGTTTAATACCTCAAGAACATTTGGATAACATCAAAGCGTCAAGAAACACTCATCAATCAATTCATAATTATTTCCTTTTGTATAATAAAAATAAAACCGCAAAAGCAACTCAACATACATTTCTGAAAACCTTCTACAAGGGCACGTTGCGTTTAGCAAGCATATCAGAACCATATTATGCTTTATCGGGGTGAAAGAGCAAATATCCAAAACCACACAGAATATGCCTCAAAAGAACATACATACTCACATATACATACCTGTTTGAGAAAATCGGCCCCAAAAGCTCGAGTCACCTTTAACGAACCTTTCACTCGGTCATTGATCACACCACAATCATGATCAAGATGTTAATTTCTAATCCTCGTAACTTCCTATTGTACGAACCACAACAACAACAACAATAAATCGAAATTCAGCCAACAAATCAATGTAACAAACACAAAAAAAAAAAGAAAAAAAAAAAAAAAAACCCATGAATTTTGAGCAGACTTTCTTTACCTCCTGAACCGAGTTGATTTGTTCGTTTGTGAGCTAAAAAGCAGTTAAACTCGGCAGCAAATCTGGCACGACCTAGGAGTGAAAACCAAAACATTCCATTGAGATTCTCCATAAATTTATTTCAATAGATAATGACACATTAATATATGGCAAAAATGACAAAATAATCATCCAATTCACAAACAGCAAAGCCACATATTTCAATTTACCTCAATAATGACACATTAATTCAGGCAATGGGAATCGGATCTAGGGTTCGGGTTGGCCGGATCTGCATCTGCTAGGGTGAATTTCAGGTGGAATAAACCGTCAATTGCGTAGACGAAGACAAATCCGTCGTCGAAAATTGGGGTATCAGAGACTCCGACGTTGTTGATGGATATTTGTTCAGGCTGGCCGAAGGTCACGACGAGGTGGCTGGCGGGGGAGAGGGACGGGACTGTGGAGGCGAAGGGCAGGGAGAGGAAGGATGACGGGGAGAGAGAGAGAAGGAGGAGAAGTGAAGGAGGAGGTGGGCGAGAGACGGCTGACCGGAAGTGAAGGCGGAGTCCGGTGGGGAGAAGATGGTGAGAGTGGTGATGGCTGCGTCGATGATAGAGAAAGTGGAATTGAATTTTCTTAATTTCGTAATTCAGACTTAATGGAGTTTGATGTGCGATTTTTTTTTTATCTCGTTAAATGGATAGTATAGAAAGTTAGGCTCGTGCAGAGGGTACTTATTTCAATATAGCGCCGGGCCAATTATGGGTAATAACACCGGCCCAATGAGAGAATAAGCCCATATTGAGCCCAAAATCATGATTAGAAAAATATCCGAAAGGTATTTGCGTAAGCAGTCGGCTTTCTGAGCCACACTCACAACTCACAGCTTACAGGACAGCCAATAAACAATAATTAGTGAAAATAAATAATAAGAATTAAAAATAACGTCAGGGATTATGTCATATTGGTGAGCTGGCTTTTTTTAATTTATTTATTGACTTTTTCTTTTTTGGTTTCTTATAAGTAGGGACGAGAAACAGCTGCGAGTGCGTACGAATTTAATCACGATTCTAACAGTCAACAATTAATTGGAATAATTTAAATGCTAACTAGTGTGCATCCCGTACGATGCACGGACGGACTTGTTACTTAAAAATCTGTTTTAAAATTTCATCTTAAATATAGTTATTTATATTTAACATCACGTTGCAAGAAAAGATATACAAACTATACAAAAACCTTATATTTATTTATTTAGATATAATGTGTCTCCACAACCAAATCAATAATATCTAACGCGTGATATATAATAAAATTAATTATATGCACCGTCATGATTTTAACTGATATAATCTGTTTTGTTTTTTAAACATTTTTATTTTATATATTGTACATGTAATACGAATTTTCTTAAATGTGGAACTCCTATATTTAAAAAAAGATATGTGACATTAATGTGATTATTGCAATCAATTAGCTGTGAATAATATTTTGATGATTAGGAATTTCATCTATTTGAAATTTATATTTTAAAAAAAAAATAGCGTGTTGGTTAATCAAGAAAATGTGAGATTCGTTCAATTTATGAATGTAGTCTTTGTACAACAAATAATATAAATAATTCATAAAATAAAAGTTGATTTGTAAGATAAAAAAATTGAGATAAATATTGTTAAACAAATTTTGTCCATTTAACTCGTTGATTGAGATAAGTATTGTTAAACAAATTTTGTTCATTTAACTCGTTGAGTGTTTTTTTAAAAAAAAAATAAAACTTTTAAAAGTCGTGAACTTAGATGACAATTGTTAAACAAATTTTGTTCAATTAAGTTGTCGAGTGGATTTTTCCTTTAAAAAAATGATTGGTAAGATGAGAAATTGAGATAAACACAAATAGGTAAGAGAAACATGGAGACAAATTGATTTTCCAAACTTAAAAATATACAAATGTATAACATTTGACCGAAATAAAATGATGTTGCAGATTCAAAAAATTTCATAAAAAAAGTTCCATTAGTAGTAACAAACGAATTTTTGGGCAAGATTCTTATAAGTTGATACTTATTTTTTTTAAGTAAATCTTTATTCTTATTATATATTAATAGATTACAATTCAAAATGGATAAGGAAACTAAGTCCATATTGAAATTGTCTCTCTCTTCCAACTTGAAGAGTAGAACAAAATGTCACGGAACTACAACTGCTTTCTCTCACTAAAAAGTTTCTGCCAGAAAACTTGGACCGTCTTCTTCACGCACTATCGTTCTGGTTGCCAAAAAAAAAAATTCGAAAAAATAATGGACATTTCATGGATCATGATTTGTCCGTGAAGCACCATGGCATACCACGCTCCAGTCCTCCCACCGGTGTCCGACCAGCACGACGTTGCGCCTTGGCCCGATGTCCAGTTCGGCCAGCAACTTGGACGGCGTTCAACCATGTCCGACTAAGTCTGAAAAGCTCCATTTTGTATTCCATTCAGCTCGCTCAAGAAATGAACTCACAATCTGTCGAACAAAATTTCAACACTCAATTTCCTGTCGAACAAGATTATTTAATTGTTTTCAAATTCACCTGCCGCACACGGTTTGACATAAAGACAGTAGCCGATAATTCTTTCATATTTGCATAAACTAAAAGATACTTAAAAAGTGACCGGTGATAAACCAGTTCGCAGAAACTTTGAAAATAATTTACATAATTTTTTCACTGTTAAACATTGAAAAAGAATATCTCAATAATAATAAGAACTTTAAACACTATATACCTAGTTCGACTATCCCTCAAAGCATCCAAAAGTGC